AACAACTATAGTTCTGCAGGGAGGTTGTGCAAACAGTTAATGTGCTTGGCTGCTAACCGAAAGGTTGGCAGTTCGAGTCCACCCTCAGGCACTTTCAAAGGAAAGCCTGGCAGTTTACTTCCAAACAATCCACAACTGAAAACCACATGGTGTTTGGAGTTTGGAGTCTACCCGGTACAAGTACAATAAGAAAAGGTTCTCACTCTTTTAAAATACAATTAAGAGGCTAAAACATTGATTTTTCCAACTGTTTTAAAGGATAATTACATAAAGTGCAATGCCTTTTACATAAATACATCCACTTTGCATATATTAACTATTTTTAGGTTTAGTGGATTCAAAACTACACCAACAGTTTACAAAGGTGAGCGAGACTCCAGTGGGGTGCATGACCCTGACTGTAGGGAATCAGAGCCTAGCTGCTGTGCTGTTGGTTAAGTGCTGTTGAGTTGGTTCTGGCGACCCCTTATAAGGTTTCTGATGAGCCGCTGGTGGGTTTGAACGGCTGACCTTGTGGTTCCAACCGACCTTGTGGTCCAGTACTTATCTTACAGTGCCACACGAGGACTACAAAAGCCTAGCTGTTGTTGTTGTGTGCCATCGAGTCTGTTCTGACACATAGCGACCCTGTATAGGGTTTCCAAGGAGCGGCTGGTGAGTTTGAACTACTGATCTTGCAGTTCCAACCGACCTTGAGGCTGAGTGCTTATCCTGTGGTGCCACACCAGGACTCCAAGTAAGAGGGATTTCATAGGTGGTTTATGTAGGCTTTGTGGACGCTATGAAGAAGTCAGGCACCGTTTTCAACCTAGAGGCCACGCACAGAAGGGGTGATTCTAGTCATTTCCTGTGGCGGGGGAGGGAAGGGGAGAGTAGTTCAGAGACAAGTAGCAAACTTCTCAACAAATTAGCCTTTGGTGCCTCAAGCACAACCTGGCGGACACTGTGGTTGTACAGCCAATAAAGTACAAGCCATTTTCAGGCTCACTGACACACAGAAGTTTACAAGGTCTATCCCTCACACCGCTTTACAATGAGCTGACAGCAGGCCTGGGACGGTTTATCCTGCACCCTTGGATGCTGTGTAACCTGCAAGCTCCTCCAGCCAGAGCTCCCTGCCTGTTCACCCATCTCCTGCTTTCCTCCCTTGACTTTCTTACTCTCCCTCCCATAATCTTCCTTCTGGGTTCACTGTAGATTTCCCAGTTTCACTGTCCTCTAAGCTTTGTGCACCCTAGCTCCTCCATTTCTTTGCCTCTGCCTGACTGAGTATCCACTTATCTCCCAGGGTCTTACTTCACACACACCCTGCTCACACCCTCACCTTCAGGACTGACACTCCTTTAAGGGTGTGCTCCCCCATAATTCCTGAGCCACCAGTGTGTTGGTGGGTTTACATCCTGGCTCACTGAGAATGAGAAAGCCAGCTTACAGCCTCCCCAACCCATCCCTCAAGACTAAGTGTTCCACAAGGTCCTATAGGAATGAAAAGAAGCAAAATGAAGGAAAAAGAAAAGGTGAAGCAAACCTGAATTAAGTTTAAGTTAAACCCTGAACCAGACGAAGGTATTAGATTGGCATTCTAGAACGTTCTTGGTATGGGAAAACCAAGGGACTTGGCTGACTCAGGGAGTACGGAAGAAGAGGGTGTGGCTGTACAACAAGGAAGGCCAACACAAAGCTCGACTGCCCAAGCCTGCTGCCCTTGTCTATGCCTAACCTCTAGGAAGTCCTGGTGGAGCTCTGGGGTAAGCACTGGACTGCTAACCTCAAGGTTGGTAGTTCAAACCCATCTGTCACTCCTTGGAAACCCTATGTTGTTGTTGTTAAGTGCTATGGAGATAGTTCTGACTCATAGCAACCTTGTATAGGGTTTCTGAGGAGCAGCTAGTGAGTTTGAACTGCTGATCTTGCGGTTCAAACCAACCTTGAGGTCCAGTATCATCCTATAGCACCACATCAGGACTTGAGAACCTACTCGGTGACACTAACAACAACAACAGCAACCTCTAGGGAAGTGGTTGCTATATGGGTGCACAAGAATATCTACTGGGCCCGGGAATAAAAGAATGTATTTTTCTATGTGATTTTAATCTAAAGAAAGGAAGACTGTAAGTGTACTGATATTTAGACATGTAGATTGCCACCAGCCCTTCACCAGGTATGGGGTCAAAGTACCCTGGGGAACAGGGACCATCCACTGTAGAAGGCTGATGGGCACACTTCAGTGCAGTTCACGTGGGCCCAGGCAAACGTATTTATATACAGTCTCAAGTCTTACATGAAATTCAGACCTTGAAAAGTAAACAGGTGGCTTGGTAAGATTCCTGAAAAACTGATAAGGCAAATGTAACAACAAAACAAACCAGAGCTGGCATTTCTCCTTCCTCCTATTGAGCTTTTTTTGATGCACATTATGAAGTAAAAATAGTAGCTACACCAATAAACAAAAAAACAATGGCAAGTTTCCTAACATGCATTAAGTGAGGAATCAATAAAGTAATGTAATAGTCGATATAAGGGTGACATTTAAACAGTGAGTAAAAAAGTAACAGTTCTCGAATAGAAACTAGTTCACGAAGAGATGTTTCTGAAAATGGCTGCTAAGGAATGTTTCCATTACATAATCATGTTGTTAAAATGATATTTGCAATTGCAAAATTAAATCTGGATTCTGACTTTCTAACCTGACTTTTCTAAATGATTTTCACTATTCCAAACTCTCGTATAAATTAAAAATTAGCTAGTAACTACTACCTGGATCTCTGAAACATACTTTTTCTGCTATGACTATTAAAATAAAGCACAGAATTCCTCATACTTTAGGGCAGTTACTACATAAATCATCTGCTTTCTCTGCCATTCAGTGGGTTCCATGACTTACAGGGGTTAAGTCATTTGGTAAATACCAATAAATATTTGAATGAGTGAATGAATGAATGAATATCTACCGCTGAAGCAAAAAACTTAGTATACCCAAAACTTTTAGTCAATATTACAATAAATGCCTGATGAATTATAAAAAAACGAAACAAAAAAGCTAAGGGCAAAGATAGTACAACCTCAGTTATGTAACCGGGGTGGGGGGGTGGGGTCCACACACCTGAAAATGAAGTTGTTTCTATTAGACTCCGACTCATGGAGACCCTGTGTATGCACCATGTAGTTTTCAGCTGTGGATTTTTCAGAAGTTGTCAGGCCTGCCTTTCAAGATGCCTGAGGGTGGACTCGAACGTCTAACCTTTTGGTTAACAGCCAAGCAAGTAACTGCTTGCACAGTCTCCCCCACAGAGTTGTTGTTAAGTGCTGCTGAGTTGGTTCCAACTCAGTGACCCTGTATAGGGTTTCTAAGGAGCAGTTTGTAGGTTTGAACTGCTGACCTTGCAGTAAGCAGTGCTTCTCCTAGAGTGACACACGACTTCAGTTTTAGAGTGAACACAGATATACATTTGTGATCGAGCTCAATGTGTTTGCTGATGAGTTGTACAATTCAGAGAACTGTTCTGGACACTAATGGGCTACATCCCTGAGGGGCTCTTCTCCCTGGATGGGAGGACCTGCTGGTCTTTGTTCCTTTCCCCCAAACTGCTTCTGCTCTGTTTTCAGCGTATGCTCTCTTCACCCAGACTCGTCCCTGAGTTCAGCAGGCGACTCTCACTCTTCACCCTCTGCGGTGACAACGGTCCACCAGAGTCTCATCAAAATGCTCGCTCCTTACTTTCGCTGCCAACTAGTTCTCGCTCCCTCAGCCCTATCATTTTGCTTTATCTGCAACTTTTGGTGTTTCCAGAAAAGCAATTTTATCAATATTATAATAAGGACTCATTTTCAAAGGAAGTAAAAAAAGAAAAATCATTTGAGTTTTTAAGAAAATGTGTTTTACGTTGTTCCAAGACCCAGAGAAGGTACCAACCTACTGAAAAATAGTAACTGTTATCGAGTTCTTTTAAGGAAAAGATTAGGCTCCTTTGTAATATGCACATTCATCATTTACATGAAAACAATAAGTTCCATTATTCTTATCATAAATTCAGAATTCATGAGGATAACAAGATTATACTACTCCAGAAAAAACTTACTAAAGGCTAAATAAAATCCTACATTCTAATATGTTCGCAACAATGGGTAACTGAGTGGCTTCAAGGAAAATGATTAAACCACTTGAAAAACATAATTTTGTTCCCTGAGATGAACATAATACTCATTCTCCTTAAAACAGCCACAATCAGTGTTCCCACACTCTTTCCAATGACATAATATTCAAGGGGGCTTCAAAAAACCATGGAAAAGTTCTTTTACTTTTTAATTGCAGTTCATATGATTTGTTTTTTGAAGCCCCCTTATCTTTACCACACAAATTTGGTAAAGAAGGTTTGCTAGTTAAGGAAGGAAAATTTAGGGATGGTTATAGAATATGATGGTTTCTTTAATAGGTGGTATTTCTTATTTATTAGAAGTTTTCTACAGATCTTACCCTAAGTAAAATATAAACATCAATTGAAAGTTTCTGACAGATACCTAACAGAAACCTTAAAAATGCTTATCCTACAGTCAATGAACTTAACATGCTTATTTGTTCAAGAAAAGGGTCTGTTCTGAGGTGCCGTTGCGTCAGTTCCAACATATAGAGACACTATGTACAAGAGAGTGAAACCCTGCCCAGTCCTGGGCCAGCCTCACAATCGCTGCTTTGCTCGAGCCCATTGGTGCAGCCACTGTGTCAATCTATCCTGCTGAGGGCCTTCCTCCTTTTCACTGACCTTCTACTTTACCAAGAATGATGTCTTTTTCAAAGGACTGGTCCTTTTTGATGACAAACCCAAAGATGAAGCCTCATCATCTAAGGAACATTCTGGCTGTACTTCCAGATTCGTTCATTTTTCTGGCAGTTCACAGCATACTCAATCTTCTTTGCCAACAATACATTTCAAAGGCATCAGTTCTTGTCTGGTCTTCTAGGAAGAGACACTCTTAAAGGGAAGGTACAAAAGGACGCATACCTGTAAATTGTAGTCTTGCAGGATTTTAACCAAGGAGTCTCTCAAATTGGGAATCTCCATTCCTTCCTTAATACGATGAATCAGGAGAATTGGGTCAACGTGAGTGCCAATGTTGTTTAACAAACCAGTAATAAATGCTATGGAAATACCACATAAAACAATGAACATAAGAACATTGCATGTAGTATAATTTTGACCAAAAGTAATTCAAAAGAAATAATGTTTTCTTAAAATTAAGTGTTAAAACCATTTGAGTTTCTAAACTATGAAAACTAAGTCTTCCTTTACTTTCCTTATGACACTAAGCAGAAGCTAAGGACGAGAAATCAAACTCAGCTGGGTAACAAGCGATCATTTATTTACCTAAGAACACAGCTGTAATGTTAAAGGGGTACAACTAGTAATTATAGGTCAGCTATATACACTTTTCTTCAATATTCTGCAAGGCAGAAAACACTATGTGTCCTCATTTTACTGAGAAATGGAGTGGCTAACTAATTAATTAAGGAGAGCTCTGGTATCGTAGTGGTTACGAGTCGGGCTGCCAACCTCAAGGTCAGCAGTTTGAAACTACCAGCGGTTCCGCAGGAGAAAGACGAGACGTCTCGCTGTTCTCCTGTAAAGATTTACAGCCTTGGAAACCCTGTGCAGGATCACTATGAGTCAGAATGGACTCCATGGTACTTAACAACAACTAATTAATCCAGGTTTACACAGCTACCAAGTCATGAGCCCAAATTCAAACCCAGGCCATAGTACAGTTAATGGTATTTTCTGTTGTACGTACTGGGTCTCCTTTAACATCCATATCAAGTGAAACTGGATTCCTAGGTAAATATTCACCCAATTACCCGAACTTGATACGGACATTAATGGCATTATCCTCTTGTATTTATTTCTACTAAAAAGACAATCCTAAAAGCAGATTCTAGAATTTGCAAATCTTACAAGGGCTAAACCTTTAAAAATAAAAAGGTGTTTGATGGTGGAGGATTTAAAACTCCTACAGCTAGCTTCTGAATCATTTCTGTATTTTAATGCAAGAAGGCTCGCATTACTGGTGGGGTGAGGGTTTTTGTTTGTTTTCTTTCTAAAACGGCAGATCAGTGTAAGTGGTCAAGTCTGGGGGTTAGCAAGGAAGTACATGGTAAACTCCTGGGGCCTAGAGGAGCACAGGGGCAGGAAAGAGAGACTAAATAATATATTAGTAAACATTCAAGTATGGTCAACATCCATGAAGAGTTAACTGCTAAAGGTCTACTGCTCAGAAACCCTATCCTGGGTTGTTATGAGTTGGAATCAACTCAATGGAAATGCGTTTGAGTTTTTTTGAAGCATTATACACTTTCAAAATAAATGTTCCCTGTGGAGCCCCGGTGGTGGTGTCAATCAGGCACTGGGTTGCTAACCGCCAGGTTGGCAGTTCGAATCACTAGCTGCTCCCTGGAGAAAGATGACACTGTCTACTCCCGTAAGTATTTGCAGTCTTGGACATCTCATGTCAGGTCTTTATGACTTGGAATCAACTCGATGGCACTGGATTTGTGTGTGTGTGCAAACAAAAACAAAAACATTCAACACAGATGACATCTATTCGATTTGTTTGTTTTGGCAAATGTATACTTTACAGGGATATTTTATATTATTAGTTTCTTTATCACATTTGGGTACTACTCAACACAGGAGAAATATTGGCAATCATTATTAGAGTGCACTTCACTTTTTGTTATTATAGACACTTGACCATATCTTTAGTCTACTGCATCTTATAAAAATTCTTACTCTAGATCTGACTGGCTAGAAAGTATGGCGAGAAAAATTGAATTCCAGGTGACTGTCCTGCTTACGTGGTTTGTCAATGGAGTATAGAATCAGGTCTTCCCAGAGTTCGCCATCATCTTGCTCCTTAGCAAATTCAATCGCTTTATCAACATCATGTAATTCCTCCATGATCATCTTCAGGGCACTTCGACTATTACCCATTCGGCCTAGGTGGATGCAGATGTGAGAACAACTTCATTTATGACAATTTTAATACATTATTTGAAATGAAAGAGCATATCTTTACATTTGTTGACACAGTTTGAAAACTAAGTAAAAGCATGTTTTCTTTGTAACGTTAACATTTACTGTCTAAATACAGTGGGAGTAAAGAAGTCTTTGCTGGATGCTTACTTTACGCTGAGTACTCATTTAAGTGCTTCAATGAATGACATCACTGTCTGCTCCCATAAAGACTTACAGTCGTGGAAACCCTATAGAGTGTTGCTATGAGTCAGACCTGACTTGATAGCAGTGGGGTTATATGGGGGTGGTTATAACCCTTGGAAGAACATACCTGTTTTACAGAAGACAAAATGGAAATGTCAAGAAGACTATATGGTTACTACATTGTAGAGTCAGAATTAGCACCTATGAGGGTGCCTGATTCCAAGCTGCATCTGACAAATCTGTATTTCCTTTAGATGTTCCTGCCTTCACACTCTGGTATGGTCAAGAGCATATGACCCCTGTGGTGACTTCTGCCCAGATCTCATTCCCTTCTCCTTCAGCCTTACAATAACTATGCAATGAGGATAATGAACAACTGTGGCTCCGTAGGATATGCATTGGACTGCAAGGTTGGTTTGAAATGCAAGGTCGGTGGTTCAAACTCACCAGCACTCCTCAGAAACCCTATACAGGATTGCTATGAGTCGGATCCAAAACGATGGCACTTAACAACAATATGCGTCTTACTTGGTAATTGTCTGAAGGACCCCTAGTGGTGCAGTAGATTAAGCCCTGGGCTAACTGGAAGGTTAGATCAGAATCCACCATCCGCACTTCAGGAAAAGATGAGGCAGCCATCTGCTTCTGTACGATTTACAGCCTTAGCAAACCCTTCGGAGCGGCTCTGCTCTGTCCTAAGGGTGGCTATGAGTTGGAATCTACTCGATGGCAACGGGCTTGCTTTAGCTGGTGATCTGCTGGCATGCTAACGCTGACATACCTGATTGTGGTGAGTGTCTAGAACAGTGCATGTAGAAGTGGAAGGAACCAGTGATGCACACCTGCCCATTCTTCCTGACCAAGCTCAGACCTGGTCTCAAGAGCCTTCTCACCAAGGTGGTCCTCATCAACTGATCACAGTGCATGTGAATTGTGAAATGAAAAAATCCCACTAGGTATCTCTTCTATAGTATTTTGTTTTTGCTGTAAATATTACCCCAGTATGTGTTTTCTAAAAAAACTAATTACTTAAAATATGCGTGTGGTGGTGGTGGTGGTGGTTATGTACCGTGGAGTCAGTTCCGACTCACCACTACACTACCAGAGCTCCTTGAAATATGTGTGTAGGATTTTAAAATTCATATAAAATCAGACTATATCTTCATTAACAACTTTCTCTACTTTTGTGCCAGTAGGCCATCTAGCAAGAACGTGAAAAGATGAGACGGGGACAGGGGGTACGAACAGACAGATCATATCCACTCTCTCCCAAATGCTGACATTCAAGTTCATTTCTTTCAGCTATTTTGCGTATAAGGTTTTAAAACCAAAAATTATTTATTTTCTACCAATTTGATGATGATGACATGCCAAGTATAATCTCAAAAAAAAAAGAAGCCAAACCAGCTTACAAGCTCTTTACTGATGTGAGATAATTGACTGATCCCATTTTGTTTGCTTATTACAAATTGCTAATATGTTTCTTTAACAGTATTTATTAAATGGCTCCTAGATCTCCACTGTGCAATGATGTCCCCTTTTTCATGTATTAAATTCTTGTACAAAATAGTCTACTTTCTGTGTTACTTTGATCTAAAACCTATGCCCATTCTTGTACAGTTGACATCACATGTTCACCCCATTTCTCCATTGATGGAGACTTAAACAAATAAATATGGGTTTCCTGGTGTGCTGCTGGGGGATAATGCACTGGACAGTAAGGTTGTTTTGAACAGCAAAGTTAGTGGTTCGAACTCACCAGTTGCTCCCTGGAAACCCTATACAGCGTCGCTATGGGTCAGAACCAACTTGGCAGCATTTGACAACAACAACAAATAAATACAGCAATAAATAAAATAAAAGCTACTTACTCAGAAGATAAACTGTCTCTTCCACAAAGTTTCTCTGTTGACAGATCTCAAGAGCCTTCAATTAAACAGGGTAAAATGTTACTCTGGGACAGGAGACAAGAACAAACACTAACAGGGTGACTGAAACTTACAGGCTCGGACGACTTTTCCCACTCCTTTCTTTTAAAAACAACACACAGCAATCAAACAAACAACAAACAAGCTCCTTAGGCCTTGTTGGTGGACTTATTTCAGAAGAGGTGTTAAACCCCACACAGATCAGTCAAAATAATATTAATTAATAACAGCAGTTGACTCATATTTGAACCCACGCAGAACATTCCACAAGCCAATGCAGAAAGCAAGATGCTAAAAGAGTGGTTCTCTGCCATGACATTTTCTCTCTTCAGGCAACTTGCGTGCTGTTCACAGCACGACTCACTATGTGATCCCCACTAGAAGATACGAGTTTGCTAAGAAGGGAGAACTTGGCTTTGCTCAGGGCCTTGTTTTCCCAGTAATTAACATCCCAAAGGTTCAATAAATATTCGTTGTATAAATAGTTTATGAGGGATATTTCTGTTATCGTCTCACAGGATTTACACCAGACTTACAGGTCTGGCAGAGACTGGTGGAACCTGGACACTTTGACCGTTAGACACCCTTCAAGCCTGGAACTGAATTTACCCCTCCTCCCCCCAAGTGACAACTTTCAGTCAAAAAATAGGCCTAGACAGTGAGTTAACAGAACTAGGGAGGAATGTTCTCCTCAGTACAATAAATGATATAAGACCAAATGGCAGTATTTGCCCAAAAACACAGCTAAGAAGCTAGGAAGAGGCAGAAAAGGAGGATGTATGGAAATGGGGAACCCAGGAAGAGCTGAGAAGGGAACTATGACACTGTGAGAACTGTAACCAAAGACACAAAAGAAAACGTGTAGAAACGTGTAGAAACTGCTGAATGGAAAGCCAATTTGTGTGTTAACTTTTACCCAAAGTAGACCAAAAAATGAAAACAAAAACAAAAAAAAAGGTTGAGGGGTTGCGGTGTGGAACCACACCTCGTGAAATAAGTGACGGACCATACAGATGTGTATAGCCCCTGGTGTGGCGCTGGGTTAATGCGCTGGACTGCAAAGTGGGTTTGAATCGCTAGGTTGGTGGTTCAAGCTCACCAGCACTCCTCGGGAAACCCTATACAGGGTCGCTATGGGTCAGAACCGACTCAAGGCACTTAACAACAACAATACAGATGACAGCACTTCCTTGGGTTTAAAACAAAGGCATTATTTTTTCCAAAGAAATAAATAATTTTAAATGACTTGACATGTTGTTTACTATATGCTCTGTGCTGGGCACTGAGGCGTAGTGGGTTATACATTGGGCTTTCTACTCCTGTAAAGACTTACAGCCTTGGGAACCCTATACAGAGTGTCTGTGAGTTGGAACGGATGCGAGGGCACACAACCACCACCATTATCACCACCTGTCCTGGGCACTGGTGGGAAAGAGCGGGTAGAGATGGAAAGATGACAGTAAACAAACTGTTAATGATGTGTAGCAGGAGACCAGAGATGAAGGGAAGGTATGGACTTCACAGCATGAATTCTGTCTGAGGGGGCTCAGAGCCAGGGGAAGTGTCAAAGATGTGACAACACAGAGTCACAAGGTGGAGGAGGGCGAGCTGAGGGCAAGACGCTTAGCACAGGGATGCTGAACTCTTGACATGGTCCCTGTGTGACAAGTTTTGCAGAGGAGGTGACATCTCATCTAGGTGCTATAGGAGGAATAAAGTTCAGCAGAGAAACCTGGCTGTGTTGCTCTGTTTGGACAAAAGTCTGGAATCGTTCATGTGGCCTACAAGACATCATGATGTGGCCCTACTTTCTTGGTGGCTTCATCCCACACCCATTTACTGCTCCATTGTCACATACACTGGGCTCCCTCTGCCTGAAAGGCAGTTCTTACCCCTCACCCCGAGCACACACTTCAGATCCCAGGTACACGCTCCCAGTGCATCCTCCACACTTCCTCCTAACACTTAATCACAACTGCAATTAACTGCTCATCTAATTATCTGTTGAATTTCTGTCTGCAGGGAGTATGTGCAATCTAAGTCTGGTGTTTTACACAAAGCCTGGCCCAGGCTAGGTGTGTAATAAATGATATACTTGTATGCTTTCCAAAAAAAAAAAAAAAAAAAGGAAGGGGCAGGCGGAGAAGGTCTCAGGAGGAAGATTACTGACTTTCGTGTTCAGTGGTGGTGGTTGTGTATCACTCATAGTGACCCTGTATAGGGTTTCCCAGGCTGTAAATCTTTACAGGAGCAGGAAGCCTCATCTTTCTCCTGTGGAGTGTCTGGTACATTTAAACTGCTGACCTTGTGGTTAGCAGCCTGTCTTGGAATCCAGTATGCTATCAGGGCTCCTTTGCATGTTAAGAGTAAGCATTTGAAAACAACCAGCTAAGGTTATTATGGTATGGTGCTGTGGGATAACGGTTGGACTGCAAAGTCGGTGGTTCAAACTCACCAACCTTTCCTCAGAAAGCCTATACAGGGTCCCTATGAGTCATAACCAACTTAACCACCACCACAACAAGGTTGCTTTAAAAAACACGAAGAATACAAACAGCTCTCAGTTTACCATAATGTTGCTTGTTGATCCAACTGTGAGGATTTCTGTTGACTTGATACTGGGGTATAATCCATATTAAAGGCTGTAGTCTTTGATCTTCATCAGAAGTGCTTCAAGTCCTCTTTGCTTCCAGCAATCAAGGATGTGCCATTTTCATACCACAGGTTGTTAAAAAGTCTTCCTCCAATCCTGATGCCACTTTCTCTACCTATAGCTCATTTTCTTGGATTATTTGCTCAGCATACAGATTGAGTAAGTTTGGTGAACAGATACAACCCTGATTCACACTTTTCCTGATTTTAAACCATCCAGTATCCCTTGAGCTGTTCTAATGACTGCCTTTTGGTTTATGTTCAGGTGCGGTATTGAGCACAATTAGTGTTTCAGCATCCCTCTTTTTGTCAGTCATCCATAATATATTATGATGTTGTTGTTGTTATGTACCGTGGAGTCAGTTCCAACTCATGGCGACCCTGTACAGGGTTTCCGAGCTGTAAATCTTTATGGGAGCAGAAAGCCTCATCTTTCTCCAGTGGAACAGCTGGTAGTTTTGAACTGCTGACCTTGCAGTTTGCAGCTCCTTAATATGTTATGATACACACAGTGAAATGGTTTTGCATAGTCAATAAAGCACAGGTAAGCATCTTGTTTTCTCTGCTTCCTGCCAAGATCCATTTAACATCAGCAATGAAATCCCTCGTTGCACACCATCTTTTGAATCTGGCTTGAATTTCTGGCAGTTCCCTGGTGATATTATCTTCAGCAAATTTTACTTGCATGTGGTATGAAAGAATGTTGTTGTTAGGTTCCATTGAGTCACTTCCGACTTATAACAGCTCTACGCACTACAGAGTGAAACACAGTTTGGTCCTGTGCCATCCACACAATTCTCTTATGTTTGAGCTCACTGCTGCTGCCATTTCATAGGGGGTCTTCCTCTTTTTTCGCCAACCCTCACTTTACCAAGCACGATGTCTCTTCCCTAGCCCCTCATGAAACATGTCTGAAGTATGGCAGGTGAAGTCTTATCCTGGCAGTCCACGATTCTTTTAATATCCTTCTTCAACACAGTAACTCAAATGCATCAATTTTTCTAGTCTTATTTATGCACTGTCCAACTTTAACATGCATATGAGGCAATTGGAAATATCACGACTTGGGTTAGTCCTTAAAGTGACAGCTTTAATCCTCATCACTTTAAAGAGGTCTTGTGCAACAGATTTGCCTAACACAATACATTATTTGATTTCTTGACTGCTGCTTCCATGAGTGTTGACTGTGGATCCACGCACAATGAAGTCTTTGACAATGTCAATCTTTTCTCCATTTATCAGGATGTTATTTTTTGGACCAATTGTGATATTTTTTGTGTTCTTTACATTGAGGTGCAACCCATATTATAGATTGTAGTCTTTGATGAGTAAATATTCCAAATCCTCTTCGCCTTCAGCCAGCAGGGTTGTATTATCTGTGTATCACAGGTTGTTGATGAGTCTTCCTCCAGTCCTGATGCCATGTTCTTCTTACATAATACCCCTTCTTGGATTACTTGTTCAGCATGCAGACTGAATAAACAGGACAAAAGAATATAACCCTGGTGCACACCTTTCCTAATTTAAACCATTCAGTGTTCCCTTGTTCTATTCAAACAACTGCCTCTTGGTCTATGTGCAGGTTCCTCCTGAGCACAATTAAGTATTCTGGAATATTCATTCTCCATAATGTTGTTCATAGCTTATCATGAGCTACACAGCTGAAATCTTCTACATAGTCAATATGTCACAAGTAAACAGCTTTCTGGTATTCTCTGCTTTCAGCCAAGATCCATCTGACACCAGCAATGCTATCCCTATTTCCACGTCCTCTTCTGAATCCTGCTTGAATTTCTGGCAGTTCTCTGTCGATGCACTATTGCAACCATTTTACAATTATTTTCAGCAAAAATTTAATTGTATGTGACAGCATTTAACAACAGCATCAACAATTGAAGATGCTTGGTGTCAGTTAGCCCAGTGGACTAATGGAACACGTGAACATCTGTCTCCATGACTCTGAGACCAGAAAAACTGAAAGATGCCTGGGTACCACTACCAACTGCTCTGAAAGGGAAGAACACATTACAAGGTCCCAGACAGAGTGGAAGAAAATGGGGAACAAAACAAAAAATTATTAAAAAAAAAAACAAACAGACTGGGCTTACTGGTCAGAAAGAAACTGGAGGACCCTTCAGGTCTGGAAAGGAGCTCCCCCCTCATAAGCCAATTTTCAGCAAAAGTAGTACCTAGGTATGGGGGTGGGGAGAGGACAAGCAACAACGCTAATAAAGTATGCTCACCATGGAAGGGTCAATCATTCCAAACGAATAGGGCAACATTTTCCTGAGGACAAAGTTGAGAAGGGATGAGGAGATGGGAAGGGAGGAAGCTGGACAATTACTG